TAATAATGCATATATATGTATTGGTTTGTTAAGAGGAAATTCTATATAAATTGCAAATGGAGACTATGAAAGGAAGTTTAAAAATTAAACATAATCATTTTTTTATTTAGAACATGTTATAAAGATGCAATTTTACTGTACGATGTTGGGAGGAGTTAATGGAATGCCATTATGTGGTTTTGCTTTAAATTGGAATATTTCATATAAAAGGTTGTAAAAACAATTACAGTCAATGAAGGCTGAGGTATGATGAAAGCAATATATATAAATACTGCATACTTGATTTAAAAATATGTCATTCAATATGAATTATAGGTGATGACTGTGGAGGGACACACAGAAGTTTTTGTAACTAACCGGCACACTTTCTACAATTTGTAATGGAAGACGGTTTTGTGTTTTTGTCTGTGTTCATTTAAATAAAAAAATGCCTTGTAAAAAGAGAGGCAGGCAGCTATAACAGCAAACTAACACTGGACTCCAAAAGATTTAGAAAACCTGCTGGAACTTATTCTTCCCATAAGCATTCCAAGTCAGGAGATGAAAACAAACAGTCTCTTTGGAGTTGCCAGCAGGTTGATTCAAGAACTCAAAAGTAAATTCTCAAAATAAAATATCAAACCAAGGGAGAAAGATGGGGCAGGCAGCAACAGAGTGGGGCTTGTTACTCTCCTTCACACCAGCAGATTCATTGGACAGCCCAGGCTCAGCAAATAGGAAATTTCCTACTTGAAAAGTCTGGGAAAGACTTTCTTTCCTCACCTGAGGAATTTCAAGAGAAGAACCAGATCTATTTAGTGCCTGACAAATGAGCCAGGTCCTAACCAGGCAGCACAGACAGATGGAGGAGTCTGTTTATACTGACCTTGATAAGGATTTCCAGCACATCCTCTCTTTGTCCCCCATGCTCTGGTACTTGCTCACTTCCTCCAACCTCCACACCTGTTCTTTTGACAGAATAGCCTTGAAGCTTAGCCTACCAATACTTAAAAATGAAAAAAATTAACCTTATGCTGTTCCTTTAAAACAGACTTTAATTTGGAAGATAAAAGTTGTAGCCTGGCAATATATTTCCTTCTAGGAAAGGGTGGTTGAAGGATTCTTCCTTCATCCCTCTAGCATTCTTGGTTTCTATGCTGATAAGGAAGAGGTTTTGATTTCTTAAGGGAAACCTCATAATTCTTTTGTTGTCGGTGGTGACCAGGAAAACAATAAATGCAAAACCAGTTTAAGGAAATAACAGGGGGTTATGCTGAGCTTGAGATATATTTACATAGCACATGAGGCCATTCTAAGGCCATCCCATTGGAACCTTAAGATGGATAAATCTATTTCATTTGTCTGCTTACATAGCACTTAACTAAGCAGCATTAAACCACTGCATTGGCTAAATGTGGTTAACCTTAACTCCAATGGTTAGGCTTCAATGACTTAGATTATGTGAATCCATTCTGTTTGGGAAACACGCCTAGACTACTAGCACGCAACCTAAAAGCAAATAGGGCTGTTATAGGCTATTGTCAACCAGTGATTCACGTTTCAATGAAATTGGTAAATGCTTTTTGTACAGTAAGAAATTTGAATAGAAAGTTGTAGGGAGTCTAGCAGCATCAACTAATCGGAAAGTCCCACTTTTTTCAGAGCGGGAAGTGACCATTTAAACCCACAGCAGAATCCACTTAGGGCAGATTCCCAGTAGATCACCTGTTTTGCATTTTAGGGGGGGAGTGAGGAGCTGAATATTTTTTAAAAGGCTTCTAGATAGAGCCGCCTCGGCTGTTCTCTCTTCGCAAGATAGAGGGCGGATTTCAGTCCTGAGGAAGCGGGTTGTCTCTGCGGCCAGCTCTAATCAAAGCCTCTAGCCTCGCCTGCCCGTCGCCGCTCGCTCGGCTCCTCCTCTAGAGTCCAACCCGTCGCGTGTCTCATTCACCGGGAGCATCAGAGCCGAGGAGGCACGCGGAGCCGCCGAGCTGTTTCGCCAAAGGCTGGGAAGGAACTCCGCTGGCGCTGGCGAGTCTTTGAAGAGATGCCCAGCTGAGCGAGGACACAGAAGAGGAGGAGAAAAGGTCTCCCCCGCCATGTCCTTGCCTCCTATCGCGCCGCCACCTTCGGCCGCTCCCCGACTGCAACCGAGGAAGCAACACCAGCCGCCGGTGGCGGCTCCTCGAAAGCCGGTGGCGGTGCTGGCGACGGCCCCCCTCGCTCCAGGCAAGCCTCCTCGGAAAGGGCGCGGCGTGGCTTCCGAGCGACCCGCCGGCTTCTCCAGTTCCTGGCCCAGCGCCTCCTTGCAGAAGCCGCTGCCGCGCGGCAAAGCAACCCAAGGCGGCAGGAACGCCCCGCCGGGCGAAGGAGGAGGGGCGGCGGCGGCGGCGGCTGCCNCACCCCACCCATCTTTTAATTCGTATAGTTGTACTTTTATTGTTTATTTTTAGCAATAGCAACAGCACTTACATACTGCTTCATAGTGCTTTTCAGCCCTCTCTAAGCCATTTACAGCATCAGCATATTGCTCCCAACAATCTGGGTCTTCATTTTACCAACCTTAGAAGGATGAGTCAACCTTGAGCCAGTCAGAATTGAACTTGACAGTGAGCAGGCCGGCAATATTGCATTCAACCACTGCGCCAGCACAGCTTATTTTTATTGTTTCATTGTTTTGCAATTATGTTTTCATTTTTTATTGTTTTTTCCATTGTACTATTGTGTACTAGGTGTACTAAGCTACCCAGAGTAGCCCCATGACAAGAGGAGCAGTAAATAAATTTAACAAATAAATAAAGAGAAATTCCTTAACAAGAAAGTGATTAAAGGGTACTCTTTCTATTACTGATATATTTCTTCAGTATATATTTACATAGGAGTTGTTGGATGTTCTGGAATATTTCATGCTAAGTAGGGTGTCTTACAATTTCTAGCTGGTGTATATAACTATAGCTTATATTTCTTTTGAAAAGGATACATTGATTAAACACACTGAAATGTCATAGCATATTATGAACAAGTAATAATATAAAAACTTGGCATTTTAGATATTTACTATAGATCAATCCTTTATTTATTAACAGTAATTATTATTCCTTGAACAATATTTCTAGCCCATCCCAATCCAAATGGGATTGATCAGGGTGTAAGAAATCTCAAAATAATTCATTAGGAACATAGAGAGAAAACAAAAATCAGCAGGGGGGAAAAATCTAATGCATCACAGTCACTTTTCATTTAACTGAAGAGCCAAATGCACTCTGGAACAGAACTACTTTGCCTTGTTTTTGGAATGCCTGTAGAGTAGGGGCCCTACATACCATCAAGAGAAAACGTTCCTACTGTGGAAGGGATGCCATCACTTACAAGATCTGTCCGCTAGCCCAATGGGCAACTTCAATTTCTTGTTTATATGCATACTGAATTTTGAATTAATTGATGGGGAGGAGTAAATCTTTATTTATTGAGCCTTCTTTCTAGGAAATGTATAAGTCAATAGCGTAGCATTTATTTATTTTCTTGAATTTCTACACTTACAACAAAATCTGAAATGGAAGGTTGAATTGGGAATCTTGTAGCAGTATATATTTTGTTTTATTCTGAAATATAATCTGAATAGTTAATTATATGAAATTGTTACAATAATTGTGGATTGCTGCAAAAGGATGCTAAAACATAATTTCTCTTATTCCCCTCTTAGGTATAGTCTGTCATACATCCCATATGCAAGGTAAGTGTTACCATTTTTTTTAAAAAGTCTATGCATTATCTTATGTTGGGGGTAATCAGATCTATTCTGAGTAGCAGGTACAGGTAATCCTTGACTTTAAAGTTACAACAGTACTGAAAAAAGCGATTTATGACCATTTTTCACACTTATGACCATTGCAGAATCCCCATGGACATGTGATCAAAATTTGAATGCTTATCAACTGAATCATTTATGACACTTGAAGTGTCTTAGGGTCATGTGATCTTTTTGTGACCTTTTTTTAATATGTTTTATTTAGGATTTTCATTAAATAAAGGAAAGTATTGTTAAATCTTTTCCAGGCTTTCTACATTTTAAAGTTCCTATTGGGTATTTCTTTCACATCTGGGTCTTCAATCTTTCTCTTTTTCCATGTATCCAATCACCACTTTCTTAACGTTTGGAGATTATTTTTTAAAATTCTTTTACTTGGGTTAGGTCTCTAGAATAAAAGTTGGAAGTTGTGTCACCCAGTTTCATTGCTCTGTCCACAAACTGCTCCAGCACAAATCTTATTGTCACAGCTTGTGACTCGCCAAAAATGGCCGTTGTCACTGCTGCCTTTTGGGAGAGCTTTCTTTGGACCTAATGAGGAAATTGTGGTTTCCTCGTGGTTGACAAAGTACCTCTCCTTCCTTTACCACCCCTCCATGGCAGCTTTGACCCCATAGGGTCTCCCGGCAAGCAGATACTGGCTAGTTTTCATGGAGCCCAGCAAAGTTCTGCTATTTCCAGCTGTTCTTGCTGTGACGCCAACCGGTTTCCCCTTTTTGTGATCTTCTGACAAGCAAAGTCATTGGGGAATCAGATTCACTTAAGAACTGTGTTACAAATTGTAGTCATTCACTTAACAGCTGTTGTGTTCCTGACTTAACAAATGCAATGATTCGCTTAACAACTGTGAGAAGACAGGTTGTAAGATGGGGCAAAACTCACTTAACAAATGTCTTGCTTAGCAACATGAATTTTGGGCTCAATTGTGGTCATAAGTTGAGGACTACCTGTATCTAGTACATTGGTTTTCAGCATGAGGCTGCCAAGCTTCAAACTTCAGTTGATTTTATTAAATTCCTTGAATAAAATTAGGGTACTTGAAGTCAAAAGCAAATTAAAATTGCCATTACAATTGCTGTAAAATGTTGATTTTTATTAAAATGAATGCTTGGTTGTAAAATTACACAAGGGTTGTCTGAAATTGTATCATTCTGCATCCATCAAGGATGGAGGAAAAGGGTTTTTAAATTAGAAGTTAACTTGTCTACCACTTGGTAAAGCCTAAAAATAATGCATCTTATCTATAAGCTGTACAGTTATTTTTTTCTTTTTCTTTTAAAGGGATGCTATATTGAAATGCTTCACTTCTTGCCTAAGTTAAAGAGAAACAGAACTTTTTCCAGTGCTTGGAAACCTACATAATTTTTCCTAGGTTTACTCCAAGTGGTTCAGGTCTTGAAATAGTGACATCCTTCTTCACAATGGGGATTAAATTGTATTAGCAGAAGAACCTTTTTAAAAAAGTACAGAACCAGGGCAATGATACCATCATCACAAAACTCTTCAATCCATGCTTTTTCTAAAAATATTTTTCACTGGTCTTAAAATTGCTGGATGAAGGTCTGCTAACATGATTTAATTTCAAAATTATATAGTTTTTGAGTTTCAAGTAAAATGCATGTAAATACATCTGCCTCATTTTTTATATTTTTCTTTCCAATTTGTCTATTATGTTTTATTTTTCAAAATCCTACTAAATTGTAAAATGAAGAATTACACTATGTTATAGCTACTGAGCCTCTTCAGAAATGATTAACAGTGGAGACGGCACGGAGAGAAAAATGAGACTATAAGAAATGTTTTTCCCCAAATTCAGAAACTTTGTGTTAGTCCTTTATTTTAAATGCCCAACTTTTTATACTGTGATACTTAAACACATTTAATTTGAGTAATATATTAAATCATTAAATATTAAAATAAATATTTAAAATTATACAGTGTAATGGTATTTATGGTTGAGATGTTCTCTAGATTATATTAGTGTTGTTAGAACTACCATTAAATTACTTGGTCGGATTCAAACATGGGTTAATGCTTACATTTTGCTTATTTTTATATGCTCTCACAATTTATAGCATGTCCACTTTTCTGTAATTTTAGAATTAATCTCCCATATACACACCTTCCAATGCCTTTAATGCTCTTGGGAGAGGAAATATTCAAGTAAAATCTATATGTTCAAGTAAAGCCTCTATGTTTAGTTGTGTGGCTAATGCCTGAATAGAATTGAAGGTTTGCTTCAGCAATTTAGCAGTTTAAACAATGATTTAAACTACAAAATGAATAACTTGTCATCTAGTAATTTAGTTTCCATCCACCAGATATTATGAAGATCAATAGCACTAAAACTCCCATATCCTTGTTCTGCTTTCAGAGGGATTATACCAGTGGTGGATTTCAATTTTTTTTAGCACTTCTTCTGTAGGTGTGGCCTGTTTTGTGGGAGTGGCTTGGCAGACATGTGACTGGGTGGGCATGGCCAACTTGCAAAATGTGATGAAACTCACTTAACAACGCTCTTGCTTAGCAACCAAACTCTGGCATTTGAAGCACGCAAGTCTTAAAGCTGTCAAGTTACAAGACCCTTGCACCCCTAACCCTTTAGAAAAAAAACCCCAGGGGTGTGCAAACTTGACAGCTTTAAGACTTGTGGACTTCAACTCCCAGAATTCCTACATACGCACGTACGTACATACGTACGTACGTACGTACATACATACATACATACATACATACATGCAATTTTTATGACTCACCAGCATCTGCATCTATAGATAAAAGTATGCCAATAAAATGTACAATAATTTCACTGTCTCCCATCTATGATCCAGCTAGAAGTANTCACTGTCTCCCATCTATGATCCAGCTAGAAGTATTCATCCATCTATGATTTTTTTCACATTTAAAATGACCTTCATCTTGACAATATTCATGTTACATTTAGCATAAAAGATAGGCAGTGGATATTGCATATCAAACATTTTGTATATCATCTTAAAACATGCTCACTAAATATCGAAATTCCATATAATACCAAGCAGATTTCTTTTCCTATTAAAAAAATTGTACTGAGAAAATGGAATTAATTCATTACATCATATTGTTCTTATCTTGATATGTACTTTAAATTTTTTTTAAGATGAATGATAATCTAACTAGTTCCTTCCTCTTGCTTTCTTAATGTTATCACATTTCATGATCTAAAAAGCCTCCGGTATTTGACCGACCTCTTAAACCAGTAACAATAGATGAAGGCAAGATCCTGCAACTTGCTTGCCATGTAGTTGGATCACAGCCCATTAACATCCAGTGGCTCAAAGCTTAGATGAATGTTTCTCAACCTTGGCAACTTGAAGATGTCCGCTCTTCAACTTTCAGAATTCCCCAGCCAGCAAATGCTGGCTGGAAAACTCTGGGAATTGAAGTCCGGACATCCTCAAGTTGCCATGGTTGAGAAACACTGGCTTAGATCCTCTGATAAATGCCGCTTCATGTTGGCAAATAGAATAACTCTCTTAGAGATCCAAGCAGTTACTAAAACTGATTCTGTGGACTTAAAGATTGACAAGCGTAATAAAGAGAGAATGTACCAATAAGATGCAACTGTTGCTAGCCCGGCTTTGCTTTGCTTTGCTTGTTAAAACTGTATAAAAGCCAAATAAACTCTGTGTAAGGCAGACAGACATTTTGGACACAACCTGCCGTGATGGATTTCTGAAACCTACAAAGGAGGAGCTAGCATCGCGACAACACGATGTGCGATCTTGGAGTTCCAGGATCGCAGTTGATACTTTTGTCACTGGACAGTCCTTTTGGACCTAAACCGTCCCGCAGAGACGGTGACAGGGAAGAGTACGCACTGCTGATCTCAGGGACATCGCAAAGTCCCTGATTGATCCAGGAGAACTTCTTGCCAGGGATAGAAGCGCAGCCACTGAAGCTGCTGAAGTTGGGACAGCTCCGGAATGGGAGGAAAGCGGAAAGAGAAACTGCCATTTGGTGAGGAAATTTTATTATTAGACAAGAGATTACCCAAAAATAAAAATCAAAGTTAAATTAATTTTGAAAACAGAAGCGGCGAAATTAAGCTACATTAGATAGTGTGTTATCCTTGAATTTTTAAATCTTTTTACATGGATGGAACTTTTGCAAATATTTCCTATTTTTTAAACTGAATGGATTAGTCTTTCTTCTACTACTTTTTATTTCTTTTTATATACCAATGAATTAAAAAAATTCCTTTATTTTTACAATGCTGGACTGGATGGTTCTTTTCTCCATGTAAGAAGGGTTTTTTTTTCTTTGTAAGTTTGGATTATAAAGAAGATATTAAAAGGAATACAAAAAGGTCTGTAACAATAGAAGGAAAGGAAGTAACACTGCCACTTGGAGAGTGGAGGCTGGAAATATTTTTTTTCTTCCCTTTGATCATTTGTTTTACACTTCAAGATCTCTCAGCTTGTTTACTGTGAGTGATAGTGGAAACAGCACGGGTTGTTTATACAGGTGCTCTTCAGGAGCTCTTTCAATAGCTGGGATGGAGAGAGGAGAGACCTTTGAAAGATTATAAATGAATTCACTTCAAATCTAACAAAAAGCTTTGAATGTTATAGTGGCAGTGTTTACAAATTGGAAAATGACGCAACAAGAAAAAGAAACCTTAACATTGCAAATGATTGTGTTTGGAATTCAAAAGAACTTAGCAGTAACAGAAAAAAATGAGAAGAGATTAGAGAATATAGAACACAGCACAGTAAAATTTGATGGAAAAATTGAGGATGTTTATCAAATGAAAAAATTGGAGGACAGCATTCTAAAAACTGAAGGGAAAAATAATCAAAGAAACAAAACTGTTGATATTGATAGTAAAGAAGTAAGGAGAGAAACTTTATCCGAAGTGAGTGATGACTAAAGATCAGCTGATTGAAGAAGCAAATGGAGGGTCTCGAGTTTACATAAGAAATGAAATGAACAA